TCTAATCTAAGTGCAATTACTAACCATCTGCTTGCCTCTGGACACAACACTGACAAAAGTAATGCCTTTGAAATTCTGTATAAGGTACCGTCACACTTGACCCGGCAGTGAGCAGCACGACTGCTTGCTACTGCTGAAGCAGTAAGCATAAGACTGATGAAGCCTACTCTCTGCACCCAAAAGAAACTCATTCAAGCATTACGATTTCCATGGCAATCAACCACACTAGAGGAATTTACTGCCGAACATCAATCTCACGTGCCGCCAATCACTGCTCATCTGATGCTTAACACGAGAACTGTTTGTTTAGTTTTATGTAATCAATGGTGTGTCAACATACTGTCCCATAAACCGGAAGTATATTTCTGTACTACGCATGATGAAGAAGAAATCTAATACAATTGTTCACCCTAAGCGTTCCGTTTAAGTTTCTTCTCGGGTTTGACATCTAGATCAGTTTGCATGCTGCAACATACGGCCTTTTGATGTACCAGATATAAGGTGTACCCAACACTAATATTAGCGGCGAACATGAAAGGGCGAGCATGGGTGAATACATTAATAACATCATTGATGTGCATAAGGAGTAGTACAGCATCAAAACACTGCCTCGGATGATGGCATTTGTTACCGGGATGGGATATGTGGCTTTCAATCCTGACTGCTTGGGTTCTGTCATTAAGATAGAATGAAAACCAAGAGAGCAAGGAGTCAGTTATACCAGACGATACATAAGGTTGCAAAAAATGAATCACGAGGTACCTGGTCGAAGACCTTTTGCGTATCGAGAAACATAATAACATGTAATCTACCCTCGTCGACTGACTTTCTGGTGTAAATGAAGAGCGCGAAGTGGTATGACTGACGAGGATGATACCATATGAAACCACATTACGCCGATATATCATGTTTCTTGGAGAGTGGTAATTCATGCCTCTTGTCCTTTATAGCCATTATCCTAATTTTAAGCAGAACAAAGAGATGACTAATCGGGAAACATTCTGCTAACGCACTTTTCAGCCCATTTTGCAATGTGGAACTACCCTGACATGTTTCCAATGACTTGGAACGGAGATGATTTTTATTGATAAAGGGAGCTTGCTCTGCAGTAGAGTAAGAATATCGGGATCATCATATTTTAAGAGATGGAGGAGTACCATCAGGATTGCCGTAGGAAGATGGCTTCAAGGAGCTTAAGATCTTCATTTCTGGATGAGTAACGTATATTGTCGCCAAAGCATCGGTTGAACGCAACTATGTTGGAGCAGTTGGCGTTGCGTGCGTGTCGTAATTAAGGGAAGAACAGAATCGTTGATAAAAATCTGAAAATTACCGTGAGATCTTCGGTTGAGACTGTTGTAGCTAGGACAGCAGATGTAATGCCGACATTCTAGAACGTTTTCCTGCATCTAAGTAGCTCGACAAATTTCGTTTGTTTGTTGGGACCTGAGAGAGCTTTGTATTCTTCGGAACCGCGCACGCAACTAAGTGTGCTACCAATCTGCTAAATAGGTTGCTAAAGTGATACAGTGCTGTGGCATCATAAGGTTTCCCTTAGACGGTGACTAATCTGTTGGTTTTACTGCCAGTACTAGCAGAAGTAATACGGTTATTTTGCATTTTCGTGGTATCACTTTCTCCTTACAAGAGCAACGATCCCTAGTCATTTGTTGACATCCCGACAGAATGCTTTAACTGCTATTCCGGGGTCGCATGTAAAAGAGGAAGTATTCCATTGATTCGACGTTAACAATGCTGTAAATATTTCCTAGGCAATCAAGCCATGTTGCCGGTTAGACGTATCGCGAAATTCGGCCATACTCACTGTTGCGGGCAATCCGATGTCGAATGCCATGCGCTTGTGATCACTACAAGAAGGGCGATCCAAGATAACCTTTCCATTTGAAAGACCGGAGGTAACGATTACGTCATAGATGTAACCACTTAGTGTCGGGCATGGAGCATGTTGAGCCGAACCTTGAGAGCAGGTGGTAGAGACACATTCAAGCAGTTAATTTGGGGAGGTATAAGAGTACCAGTTAATTTCTGGCATACTGAAGTTGACTCCAAGCAACTTATAGTGAAAAGTCGATGCAAGCGAACATGTTTCCAATAATTCCTCTTCAAGTTTGCACAATTATATGTGGGAGAAAAACAAAACGTTTGAGTAAACGTAAGGGTTGATAAGCTAAATTCTGTTCACAATCATTGGTAAAGCACAAACATTATTCCATGGAATAAGCCCCCAGTCACAACCAGATCGTGTGAGAGCGCAACGGCCATTCGCGCTAAGATCACCAGTTACTTAGATTTGAACACGATCATGACTCTGTCCTCTTGGGAGAGAACACTGGATGTTTGTACCAAGAAGGGCCAGACAACATTTAACAAATAAACAAATTTTCATACTGTGTGCCTTACCCCTAGTGCTGTTACCAACCACTATTCCAACTAGTGTCCATTTCGCTACAACACACCTGTGAGTTAATACAAACCCTTGAAGCAGCAAAAGTAATGCAAATCACAGAAATCTTTATTATTTATGCACGAGCATGATATATTCTGTAAAATATGATCTGTGCCAAATATGACCACAGTTTCTCACTAGATGAGAAATATATCTATTGTTATTATGATTATTATTATTATTAGGTCACAAGTGCGGCGTACACACAATTCCGTGGGCCGGATGTCGCAGTTCGGGTGGGCCAAGGCTGTTTAAACGCTTGAACGAGCCATTTCTGAACACACAACTCCGGAGCGTTCAGTCGAATCGCGATGGCCTCAGCGGATTCATGCAAACTTCTACAGACGAGCTTTGATTGATTGTCCGGTGCCTAATAGATCACATTGAATGAGAGCAAAATTGGTGGTCTGGCCTGTGTTATAAATCGTCGCGCTTCTCATGCCCTAAGACACCCTTTCACAGCAGCTAAAGTGCAAATCCAGTTCACCGGTAACCTAATGGTTAGAACTAGCCCCAACGACAAGAGGCCTGTCCACGCTAAAGCAATATACATTTCTTCATTCTTCTGTTCCTGCGGGTCAGGTTACATTGACCGAATGACTAGGCGTTTGTCTGAAAGGTTAAAGGAACACCAACCGGCCTGGCTCATGACTGCATGTCGAAGAGCAACCAACTCATCCATAGCCACGCATCTCTCCGACACTGGCCATGCCACCAATTTGGCTGTCATTCAGAGTGTTCTATTAGGCATCGGACACTCAATCAAAGCTCGTTCGTAGACGTTTGCTTGAATCTGCTGAGGCCATCTCGATTCGATTGTACGCTCCAGATTTGTGTGTTCAGAAACGGCTCGTTCAAATATTTAAATTTCCTTGGCCGACCCGAACTGCGACATCCTGCTCACAGAATTGTGTGTACGCCGCGCTTGTGACCTAACGGATAGTGATTGTGCCTAATCAGTGATTATGAACAGAACTTATCTTACCAACCCTTACGTTGTGTCAAACATTGTGTTGTTTCCCCACATACAATTATGCAAGCCTGAAGAGGAATTATTGAAAACAAATTTGCAATGGGATGGGATTTTTTCAACATATAGTTGTCTGCGCGCTTCGAGATGTATGCTAATATTTCAGAAAGTCGCCTACTATTGATGTTGCCGAAGTGTGGCGGATTGTAAACAAATCTGGAGAGGAACTTGCTTCCTTTTAGTACTGCTGTAGTCCATAGTAAATCAATGAAAATCACAAGCTTTGGTTCAGTCAAGGGTGGGGAATTGTTCATTTCATCAATAGAAATATTCCATTTCCCTCCCCTGTCACTGCGACTACCGCCTGACTAGCTATTGTCTACGAAATATGGTACTGTGACTATGCATTTGATCAGAAAATCCGGGGTTCGAGTTATATCATTGTTAAGAGATCGGGTGTTAATAAGAAACCGAAGGAATCATGACGGCAATTTGTAAAGCATCGACGTTTCAGATTATACATATCTTTCCTGTTCCAGTTTCACCTCTACAATTATGAGGTTGTGGCTGCTTCAGTGGTCGACTAGATCGCAGTTTCGGCGAGAACTTAAAGCAACTGTCAATTCTTCAAACATGCAGGAGATAGGTGGCTTAGCTGTCGTTTGAATAGCAGACTATTCTATTGCCAAACTGAGATCGTGAAACAGACATCGGCTAATCACACAGCAACTATTCAAACATTGTCTCGGATATATCTTGCTGCCAGCGCGTGACCCTTTAATAACTAATGACGGTTGCACGGAAACTGTTCAAACATGCAGGACTGTGAGATACGATGCATTGCCATATTCGTCATCCATGATACCACATAAATAGAATGCTTATTTGTGATGCAAATAGCTTCTTGATCGAAGTGCAGCCTGACTCTGCATATTTCGATGGTCACAAGTTACAAAACATTCTGGGGTCCATACCAAAATCGTTAACACTACTGACTAATCCAATTCCTGCTTCCATTACTCCCAAAAAAGTCACAAAGTCTAAGCTAGATTTAATGCTACCTAAAAAGAGTGCTTAGCCAGAGAAGCAGTAGCTTAGGGGCCAATACAATGTTCTTCATGTAGGAAATCCGCTAGGTAGTGGGGGAAGAGAATACGCGCTACATTCCAGCTAATTTACTAAGTCGTAACGTTTGCGGCTGAGCTTCGTGGTGCAGTGATCATATCAATGGACTTGTTAGATTAGGGTCGAAATATCTGACCCAACAAGAAACAACTAGAATGTGCACTGCTGCCGATTCCATAAAATATGAAACCGCCACCCCTAGTACTTCTTTGGACGTGCAGTGGCTTTCTGATTGGGCTGCACTCTGGCGAATCTCAATCGAAAATTTGATCAAAATCCCACCTTTCTCTAATTTCTAAAAATTTCTTCAACGCTTGTCACAAGTTACGCTGCCCCATTGGTCAATTACAGCTGCTTGGACAGCAAGGGAGGCGGTGAAAACAAGCGACCGATCCTGCTCGCACCCCATATGTGGTTTGCTTGTATATGTGATCCGTTCTGAGAGAAATCCAAAGCAACATAGGAAAATAGGGTTGGAGAACGAGAACCACATTTGCACCATCCGTGCTGCTCACAAGTTTGTGGACTTCTTCCGCAAAGGCTTATCACATGGTGCCACGGGTCCTAAATTGAGGGATGCGTTGTCTTCGTTGAAAAATTGGTGAGTTACCACTCAGTATATCTGATTTTATTGCGGCTGTTTTCACAATTTCTTTGTAACGGAAATGACATCTTATCAAACCAAATTACTCGCTTCATAATACTGAATTTACCGAAAACTGAAATTAGAGAGTGAGTAGATATGGACATGTGTTACTCCATCGACCATGGATGGGGCAGTGCCCGGTAGTACGTCGCTCATTCCTTGTCTGTTTTGAAAAAAGGTGCAGTTGTACAGCGTCCTATTCAAGTGCAATCCGCCCTTTAAATCGATGATTTGAGTAGTAGGCTTCAAGGTAAATTCCGATACCGACTTTGTCTCGACGAATGACTAGGGCAGACTGTTCCAATGTTTTCCCACTAGATGTTGAAAATGTAGAGCTGTTGTTTACGAAGGGGATCAGTTTTCACTGCGACGACAGCTGGTGTCATGAGTGTAACACGTTACAAATTGAGTAAGAGCCAACTGACAATGCACCTGTCTCAGTGATAACTAACATTACCGTTTTAAAACCACTTGTACTGTTTCGTTGCTTTCGTGATTCCGGTAACCCATAAATGTGCTTTTGTCGTGTGGTAAAAAAGGTGTTAGCTTCTATTAATTACAGTGCTAAACTAGAGAATGAAAACGTCAGATTAGATGACAAATGGTGGCAAATGGCAATCACCAGCAAGGTAGTTTGATGAGCAGATCGAAACACGGGCAGAGATTAGGCATATGGCATTTTGCAGAAAATGCAAAGGCTATGAGTTTCCTATACACTTTTGGCCAAAAGGTGTATTAGTCTCATATACATACGATTAACATGAGTATATGATCGTTTAACTAATTCGAATGTTACTGTTCACTCTGCAAACAATATGCAACTTATTTTAAACGCTCGTTGTGTGGATTGATTTCGAAGCTCATTCGCAATGTGGACCACCAGTCGCATTAAAGCGAACCTTGGTCAGTTCGATCACTGCGATCGTAACTTATTAAGCGGTTGATATCCAGGCTTGCCCGCCTGAAAATACTGCACTCCAACCTAATGTTTAATGAAGAGTAACTAAGGGAGGTCAAATAATACATCCTATCATGTTCACCTCACCAGTGGTTGTGAGAGCAAATAACGAGTCTGGAATAACACAACCAATTACTTGATCAAGTCAGTTGCAGGCGTTTATCGTCAGCCGGGAACCTAATTCACCGATCACGATCGTTATGTCAAGGTCTGAGCCGTTAACCCAAGCTAACAGATTGTTTACTGCTGACAGAGTGAAATAGCTCGACACATTCCCGCAATCCATCGTACAAAGTGAAGAGTAGTATGTAGGCAACCAACGCAAGCGAAACTAGGCGGACTGCGGTAGAAAGTGTGGAAGTGCGCAAGTTCTTACTAACAATAAGTCTATTGTTTGTAACAAACTTGCGTTTACATGCCCATCAAATGAAGATAGGCAGACATTCCACTGCTCACCTTTTTATGCTCGGTATTGGAAGACTTCCACAATACTTCCCTTCAACTTAGCTACTGCTAATGCTTCGCCCCTTCGGGCTGGATTAGTTGTTAATAGTTAAACATAGTCAGTTTTCCTAACAGCGCTTTCCGCGAAACATTGAAACACAAGACAGCAGCATGCCTATTTTGTTTGTAAGTCGAATAACGAGTACATAGTGTAAATTGGTGGAAGACTGCTGTCTGGATGGTGTTCCGCCCCAGGTATACCAGAAATACAACAAACTCGGTGATTGACTGGAGATGTAAAAAATGATACTAACAGAAGCTAGTGAAACACAATTTTGCCAATGAAAATTCGAATACATGTGTTGGGCAAACAAGTGAACCACCATGACTTGATGCCGAACCCAGGGAAGAAGTGTTCTTTGAATATGTTGAAATCTTGTGTGTCTTGCACGTTGATAGAATATAGGTCCTCATTCTTAAAACCTAGGGGTGGTCATTATTCTTTTCCAATATTTACTATATGTCCCTACTGGGACATGCATCCTCATTGGTTGCCATGATATGGTTTAAAGTCAACCTCGTCCGTTCTAGGTCAAGAAAGTTCAGTACGCGCTGACTGAATGGAAACCCATCCAAATAATTATGCGAAACGTTCCAGATTTATTGGCTATGGAAAAGCAAGGCTATTAAGTCGTCAAGATAAGCTTTATACACCCGTGTGGGAGCATTTTCAGCAATTTACACTAAAACTACGGATATACTACGACACGGCGTCAGTGGGAAAATGTAAAGTTAAGAGGAAAACAATTAGTTCGTTTGCAGTCAAGCAATTGAGGCACCATAACTTTTGGGTCGCCTGACGAGTGCACTAGATAGGACCAGATGGATTTGCGATACGAAGAGGTACTAGAAAATAAAAGTTTAAATTTCGTCATCATGAAAGACATAGGTACTGTAGTGCGTAGGATAGTGTGTATGTAGTGATTGGAATAGATTAGAATCATACCTAAACGGCAGAATGTGTCAGAATTCTTGCTGCCCATAATATTAGTTAGGCAATCTTTGCTTCATCGACAGCATCGGGGAATAACTTTTAGTGAGCGCACAGGAATAGTATAATGCTTTTGGAAAATCCATTGGAAAATGACAACGGAACAGAACAAACACTGGGAGAATACGTGCATCTACAAACCTTTGCATTAGAGCATACGGTAGGAAGAGCATAGGGAGCCTGAGGGAGAGCCTACTGTTCATTTGCGATAAGGTCGCAAATGATATTAAGCACAAGCTCCGATCCGCTATAACACGCACTTACACGACTGTCCAACTGCGGCTCATACATACCAAACGAAGGATCGTTCTCGACAACCATGAGAGCAGCTCGCCCGACCGTTCAGTCTCTCACTTCATTTATCAGTTCATTTGCAGTTGCGGTGACACTTACACAGGCAGGACTAATAGCCGACTGTCGCAAAGGGTAGCTAAGGCAAAGGTAGCAAAAGCAAACGTTGAGCCAGCAACGTGGGGTGTACCAAGCGATGAACAGGAACCCAGTCTCATCTATTCCTAAGCACCTCATGACACCTCGTCCTCTGGGGGACCCGACGAGACCCTTGAAGGTCTTATTTCGTGACCAGCATTCTAAACTGTTGACAAGCAGTGAGGCGTTACTGATAACGGGAAATCATCCAGCGTTATGTTCCCAGAAACAGCTGAGGCAACCAATTAGATTGCCACGGGCCTGATTACGTAACGCACATCAATTTTGTTTTGCTAAGCTGTTTTACCAGATTGTCACCCTATATAACTGCGCTTGTTTATTGCTTGTGTTGCTTTGTGACTGAAGAAGTAAATCGAAGCATTGACATTTCGCAATCTATGTTTGCTTACTGCCTTAATGAAGTGAATAAATGGTACCTAGTGTTTTAAAAATATGCGTCGACCAGGATAAAGTCTGAGACAAAAGAACCTGGATACTTTACGATTGATAAATGTGGGATGCTTTGGTCACTCATTGTCAAAGGGGGAGAACATTTACCGGAGAACGCAGACTATAAATGCGGAGTAAAAGGAAGATGACATCACAAAACTTGAAATGCTTAATGAGGCGAATTCGGCAACCTAACCAATTAAAGTGTTAATCCAATCATCCTTGGAGCCTCGAATATTCCTCACTTATTGGGCATCGCATCTCAGGACGACGTCATCATCGTAGTTGCATCCGTTGAAACGGGTTGGCATGGGAAGATTTTAAGCACGAAGGGAAAACCGAAAATGAGATAAAACAGCTTCTTACAAAACAATAAAACTGACCAGGCTTGCAGAAGCCCTACCGCGTAGCAGAGTGAAGGGTGTGCATTAGTTACATATGGGCGAACGCCGTTTTCGAACAATTGGTTCAGTAGTACCGAACGGCCAAGTCTCCCAATGGCATAGGCATAAGTGATAAACAACAACCCTAAAGTCTTGTATCATTTATTTAAAGCAGATGCTATGGAATGTATAAGACACGAAACAGCATGGAATGTAAAACACCCTGGCTTATATTTTAATTTTTGTTATCAGTAGGATCGCTTGTTACAAATCAGGAGATAAATGCTTTCTCAATCAGCTTCAACTGTACGCAGTTGCATGCTTTTGGCCGATATTTCTGTGATGTTGTTTTAGACACCGGTGTTATTCTGGCTGCTTCCTAGATGCCGGGGATGATACCGGTTCTTAAACACCGGTTGAATATCAATGTCGTAGATGACTGTAATCATTCGCAAATTCTTTTGGTACAATTACTGACAAGTTATCAGGGCCACTAGCCTTGCATTGCTTCAGCCTTGTGAGTTCCTTGTAAGCACTGGTGTGCTCAAATAAAGTGGAAGAATCAGTGATGGGGAAGGTAGAAGGAGTGTGCTGGACGATAAGAAAGCTAAACTCTGTTGAGTATATCCACATCTACAGTATCGTGTGGACAAAAGAAAATTTACCAGGTTTGCTTCAAGAGCCTCTACATGTCACGACAACCGTGGTTTTCTAAGACGGCTTCAATGGATAGACGGTTTAAATCAAGAATTGCATTTTTTTTCTAAATAAGACAATAAGAAACCTGGTATTGCGAGATGGAACCATTTCTCGACTAATTGAGGCACACCTGCACGAGCAAGATCATGGTAAGAATACAACAATCAATCAAGGAATGCACAATAACATGATAGGCTTGTCATACATGTTGACACATGTGTGTGTAGCTGTGTTGCTTAGCTTTGTAAATGTTTTGCTGCAACTGTGCTTGTGTTTGAACACGTCGCCCGTCCAAAATGGATGTTTGACTTCTATGCATTAGAAACCATTATCGGATATGCAAGGGGCGGTGACATTAGTTAGTGGTGAGTCATCACTGCCACGTCACAGAGTTAAACGGACATTTGTGGCTTTTTATAGGGAGAAAGCTTGCCAGGCGAAAACCCACTACGTCCTGGAATACTGCCGTTTAACTATTTGCTGGGACGGGTAAACCCGAACCACCCAGCTGGCCCCACGGGGAGGCTGTTAGGCTAGATAG